TCATTTCTTTCATACCTACATTTTCTGGAAGCTTCCAATTCATCTCCAAAAGCTTCAATCAACATACATTCCTCATACATTCATCGTTCCTAGTTCACTCCTGATGCTGCCCCTGCACTTATAAGTATTTCATGTCCCTTGTCACCTCAGCTTCCTGAATATCATGCATGACCTTTAACACATTTAGGAACATGTCCTGTTGGTAAGACAATGTGGGTACAGGTTTATACATTTACAAAGGTTAAATACAAGTGAGTAACACATAACAATAACAACTCCACCCACATTTGTAGTTTCATTTCTCATTTCTTAAGCAGCAGTTCATTAAATCATATATTTTTTTCTATTCTTTTTACAACATCAACGTCCCAGCTGCTCATGTGTGTGAGTGAGTGCCTGCTTTTGAGGAGAACAGAGGTCAGTGTCTCGTGAAGTCAACTGCAGTGTTCTGTTCATTCAAACCAGGCCCAAGGCTTCAGCTGCAGTCTCGTTGTTCATCAGGTTTAATTAATAGTTCAGATGAAGATGTTAGGAAATAGTGACTTAAACAAAGAATGAATCACCTTTAGATGTTGCTTTTGTGTTTTCAGCATATCGGTTGACCTCTAGATGTTATTGCTGTAGTTTAGTTATGATGTGATGAACACATGAATAAGGGTTTCAGGGACAGAGAAAGGAAGGGAAGGTCAAAGTCTAACAAAATGCAATCCAGTCACATGACTAAGTCACCCACAGTACCTTCACTACCAACATACGCCTTTTCCTCTTCTATCACCACAATCTGCCCCTTTTACAATTCTGTCTGCCCCCTCACACATGCCAGCCTAGAACCGGCCCTGCTCTATACGTACATTTATGTTTACAATGTAGAGACTGAAGAAACTATTTTCTCCTTCACTGTGTGGCAAGGTGGAGAAACAAGGGCCCGGGCGGGATTTGATACTCAGACTCTCGATGACAGTCACACGCATTAACTAGTGAACCAAAGGGACATCCCCTTGGCCAAGTAGCTAGGGTGCATGATCAATCAGGATACATTGACAGGACACTCATACTGTCACAAGTGGACTTTAGATTTTGAAATTGTAAATTGTTCAGGAGGTTGTACGTCCCTCAGTCCACAGGGACTATAACATGTTGGCATCACAGGAGCCGGGCTTCAGGATCTGTAAAGTTACAATATGTTTAACAGCTTTTCTGAACCAGGGATAAAACATGGCATAGATCAGAGGGTTTAGACAGGAGTTAAGATAACCAAGAAAGAACAAGAATGATACATATGTTGTAGTTGTTAAACTATCTATAAAATAAAAGCAGCAGTAATATGGACAGAAACACATCAGATACACAACAACAAGAACACCCAGTGTTCTGGCTGCTTTTAGCTCTGATTTCTTTGTTTGTTGTTGCACTGAAAGCTGAAGGGTGACACTTCTATTGTGAGAGTACATGGCACGAGCCTGAGTCACAGCCACCACAAATACTCTCATATACAGAACTATGATGACTGTAACTGGAAATAAAAATGATATAAACAGATCAAAAGTTCCTGCAAAAGAGTCAACAGATACTGTACATTCTCCAATGCAGGAATTACTCCTGCCTGGCTGAATCAGCATATCTTTGAAGAAGAAACTTACATAGAAAGCAACACAGCTCCAACAGAGACAAACACAGAATTTCATTCTTGGTAAGGTTATTCTGGTGGGATAATGCAGAGGGTAACAAATAGCCACATAGCGATCAGCTGATATGAGAACAATGGTTCCAACTGAAGCACAGAGACAAACAGAGGAAACATAGTAGTAAAATGAACATGTGATATTACCGAGTATCCAGCATTTTGTCTTTCTAAAGATTTCAAATGGAATGATTAAAATGCCAATAAGGAAATCTGACACAGCCAGAGAGAGGATGAGGATGTTAGAAGGTTTCTGGAGCTTCCTACAAAGAAACAAAGTCAGTCAGAGAGGTTAAAATAACTTATGTAGTGTAGAATCACATTCTGATCAGATTAGAAATTGATCATGTTTTTTAACATCTGCCTGAAATAGGAGACTGAGATTATGATGAGGAGGTTTAGAACTGCTGTGATCAGAGAGAAGAAGGACAACACGATGTTCAGGAGGACAGCTTCAGACCAGTGAGGTGTTGGTGTCCTGCAGGACCTGTTGAGTTGTGGAAAACAGAACTCAGCTTCAATCTGTATCTCCATCATCAGATGGATACTGCTGTCTGAGCAGAACCCTGTCACACAGATCTTTTATACTTTTCCTTCATTACACAATTCTTATTTGTTCTGAGCACTAACATTACTCTTCCCTTGCGGCCAAAAACATCAAGGGAGCCCAAACAGGCCAACAGATTATGTTAGACAGGAGTCTCCATGGACCAGTAGCGGCTCATCCATGGGGGCACTAAGATGCCACCATCCCTGACCTGAAGGGGACAAAAACAACTTAAAAGTATAAAAACTGAAAATGTATAAAATGGCCACTTGGACTTTACACAGCTGAAACAACAAAGGTCTAACCAGATCTCTTCTACGTTTTGCAGGTTAATGCTAAAGGATTGCCATGACATTGCTCATCTTTGCAGATGAAGTAAGTAGTAAGTAAATTTTATTTATATAGCACCTATCAGTGGTGGCTGGCCAGTAGAGGGCGATAGGGCGCCACCCTCCCAGTTTTCCCCAGTGTTTATAATTTTTATTTAAAAAATAAATAAATAAAATTAACAATAATCACATATTCTAAGTTATTTGTGTGTTTTGTAACAAAAATAAATCATATATATATATCTATATTGGTCTCTGCCGGTCTCTGCCGAGCGGTGGAGGCTGTAGGCTGTTTTTGAATCGCCCAAACAGGACCGGACCAGCCGTCCAATTGCTGACAAGAAAATCAAAGGGTAGGAATGGGAATGTATCCAATCAGCGTCGACATTGTTTCAGAAGCATGATGGGCAATAGAGCTACCGCCAAAGGTTTCGTTGGTGTTCGGTAGAACTCGGCAGAGTCGTTTTTGTTCGTGACGCAGATGTAAGATGGACGCCGCCAGTGACTACAACCAGCATGGATACCGGATCTCAGCAGCCACTGAATTCAGTTCGGTCTCTTCTCAAGTATCCATTCGAGAGGAGAACTATGGTGGAAAAACTTAATGTCAAAGAGCTTTGACCAGATCAGCCCGACGTAAAGATAAGCCAGCAGGAGAAGGAGAGAGGTAAACTGTACACACAAGGCTTCTCCTGAAATTGGTACACCAGGAAGGCTTGGCTAGCTGGATGCAATCACGCTAATGCGTTATTTTGCTTTCCGTGTTTGTTATTCAAAACGGCTGGGACAGATAAGGCATGGATTGAGTCAGGAGTTACAGACATGAAACATTTTTCTGAGAAGGTGAAGAAACACGAGTCATCCCGGGCACACATGGACAACAACATGGTGAAGCTAGCCATGCTAGGCAGAGCTAACATTGCCATGCAGCTCAACGAGGGAAACGGAAGAAATGGAGGAGGTTTGGCCAGGGAGAACAACAGCAGCTGGGTGCAGAGGTAAGCTATACATTCCATTTCTGTGAACAAGACAATCAGAATCAGAAATCCTTGGTTGTCCCACAAACCGGGACATTTGTTTAATAACATGTTTAATGTGCAATAACTGTAAAAACTAATTTCAACACACATACTTATTATACATATTTAATCACGTAAATGTGTATTTCATGCAAATTTGTACATACATCAATCTGATTCCATTTTACTTGTTACACTTCTGCTGCAGCAAACAATTTTCCCAGCTTTTGGGACAATAAAACATTTCTGATTCTCAATTAGATGTTTTTACCTCAAATGTAAAAACATCTGATTGAGAATCAGAAATGTTTTATTGTCCCAAAAACTGGGAAATATGACATTTGTAAGAGGATACTGATGACATTATTTCCTATGAAAGTTTTTCCTATGTACTTATCTGTTGTTTTTTTTTATTTATCTACTTTAAAGAGGATTAAGACTTTCCTGAGGAACACCATGACACAGGATGGGCTGAATGCTCTTGCCATGCTCTCCATGGAAAAAAAAGCTTGTCACAAACATTCCTGACTTCAATAAAGAGGTAACCGAGAGCTTTGCCACTCAGAAGGACAGAAGGGCAAAATTTCTGTACAAATGAGGTATCACACACACACAAATGCATCCACTTGATCTTTCTTTAAAGTTGACCGTAGCACAACACCCCAGAAATATTTAACAGTGTAAATTTCTGGCATTTTGTCTAAGTAGTGTTTACTACCATTACTGTAACAGTGACCTGCTCATAATTTTTCGTGTTCACTCAAATGTTGAAATTAAACAAAATGTTTTTGTTACTTGCCTCTTGCATTGCCTATTTACCATTTATGGTCATGTTATTTTATGTGCAATTTAATGCAGTATTTTTCAACCATGGTCCGCAAGGCAGCGTGCCAATAGTCAGACACACCTGGATTAATCAGTTTGTCCAATGATGTAAGACAGGAAATAAAAGAGCTGTGCTTAATTCAGGAAATAGTGAAGTTGTGCACAAAGCCCAGAAAGCACAAGTTTGTTTAAAAATAAAAAATAGCAGTGCCCCACCAAAAATATTTTTCACCAGCCGCCACTGGCACCTATCACAGACATAGAATCACAAAGTGCTTCACATTTCCATGGCGAAATCGAAACTTCCGTTGTTTTGTTTAGCTGTGTCAGGTTGTAGGGAATTAAGGTTATTTAAATGGTACAGAGTTAATAAAGCAGTAGATATGATGTTTCACAAGGAGCTGTTAGAGTTATGTGAAATCTTACTTCTGATTTTACTAAATAAAACATCATAATAATCAACTTCTCCTTCATGTTTGCTCGGAGGTGTACGGAGCATTCTGTCCGCTCACTGGTCAGTGAATGAAACCTCCGTTGATTGGTCCTTGTCCGAGCGACAGCGACGAAAAGTTGGAAATATTTCAACTTTCTGGGATCGCGTCGCTGGGTCGCCTGTGCACGACACATGCACGAGCACAAAATGTCACATGCACATTTTTCGCATTTCGCTTGATAGGAGTGAGACCCGCGATTATCGCTTTGTCGCGCATATCTCATTGAAATTGAATGGAGGAGAGGCGATGTCGCCTCCCATGTGTCGAGCCCATAAGCTGCTGCTAGGCCCTTCCCAATAGACGCGTAGCAGCAGGGGAGCAGCTGTCACCGACAGAGCACAAAGTCACACGAGTGACTTCGTCAATAAACACAACAACAAGCAGGAGAAAACTACAACATGGCTCCAAAAGGTTTGTGTTTTATGTTCTGTCCGTTTTATAATCGCCAATACGGACCTGAAAAACAAAGGAGACCGTTAGCTAGGTGATAACTTCTCACGGGGCCGCACAGTCAGTAACATTTTTTTAAAGTAAAGCAACCGGAAGGCAGTACGTTTCTTTATTCTGAAAATCACGGGAGCCTCGCTCTGTTTCCGCGTCCAATTTCCTGTCTTTCCTTCCCCAAAAATGTCGAACTTGACCCGTTTCAGAGGCGTCGCGCGTAGAAAATAGAACTTGCTCGTTAAGGGGCCACGACATGCTGCTCCTGAGCCGACTCGCGCTGCTGACGGCTCCGGTGGCAAAGGTTCTGTTGACCACAGCGGTTCCTATCAGCAGCTATGACGTGCTGCTGCAGTAACGTGCTGCTGACGGCTCCGGTGGAAAGAAGGGGTAAGGATAAAGGAAGATCATTCCAGAGTTGGGGTGCAACAGTCTGGAAGGAGCGATCACCTCGACTTTTGTATCTGGTCTTTGGAACTTCCAGAAGGTTCTGGTGTGTGGACATGTGGGCCCCGGTTGGAGCATAAGGCTTTAACAATTCAGTAATATAAGGAGGAGCTTGACCAGCATATGAAAGTTATAATCAGGATTCTAAAATGAACTCTAAAGTTAACGGGTAACCAGTGCATAGACATTAGAATAAAAGTTATGTGTGCTCTTCTGTTTGCTCCAGTTAGGAGCCTCGCTGCAGAGTTCAGGACCAACTGAAGGCGGTCAAGTGCTTTTTTGTTAAAACATGTAAAAAGTGTTTTACAGTAATCTAGACGCGAGGAGATAAAGGCATGGAGAATAATTTCAAATTCATGTTTTGACACCAATCTTCGCAGTTTGGAGATATTTCTTAACACTAGAACTCTCGGAGAGCCGCCAATTGGCACCGTGGTATTCACCTAGCATTCTTAATCACTTGGCCGCCTTCTGTCCCTCATCCTGTGGTGCTTCCTTTCAGTTGGTCCACTTCTCTTTTTTTCACCTGCCTGATTCCACTCGCATCAGCAGGCTCCCGCTTATCTTTGCTTCCCTTGTGACTTCTCCCATTGTGTCCTCTTCTGTGGTTCTGGCATTCGGGAGCTTGCAACAGCCTCTTTGATTTTAGGTTGTGAGGGACAGATTCAACATTAGACAGGGCATTAAAGAACATGCTGCTGTGGTTACTCACATGAACCTCTTCAACATGTAAATGATTAATTTTTAGTCCCAAAGAGAAAACAAGATCTAGAGTGTGGCCCATTTTGTGTGTGGGGCTTGAAACATGCTGCTCCAAGTTAAAAGACTCCATAATAGACATGAACTCCACTGCTGTGCTACAATTAGGATCATTAATGTGTAAGTTAAAGTCACCAAGGATTAACACTTTTTCTAGTTTGATCATTGATGTTAGAAATTCTGCAAATTCAGAGAGAAAAGAGCCAGCTGGACCGGGAGGTCGGTAGATTGAAATGCAGTGAAATAGATTTTGTAACCCTGCTTTGATGACCTGACATTCAAAAGTTGTAAAAGGGCCATTTTTCACCAGATTACAGACATGTTTGTCCTTAAAGACCACAGCAAGACCTCCACCATGACGTGTCGGGCATGGTGTGGTAAACACAGAGCAGTTTGGTAGACCTATTTCATTGAAATGTACAAAATAGCCATCTTGCTGCCACGTCTCTGTAAGAAATAAATAGTCCAACTTTCCTCTAGTGAACAGCTCATTTAAAATAAAGGATTTGTTTGAGATGGAGCAGCCATTTAACAGGGCACACTGAACTGAATCCTGGAGAACATTTGTCTTCTTAACCTGTTGGAGAGGGATGGGTAGTAAACATCTGGTGTTCTGGGTTCTCCGGTCATGAATACAGTTTATGTCTTTGCTGGTTGATAAATGAACTGGAAT